AGGGGCAGGGGCAGGGGCGGGGGCAGGGGCAGACTTTCATTTCAAAAATGCATGAGTTGCACACGAGGAATCGTGCTGTGAGTCTTTATGCCTGACAAACGACTAATATACATTATGTTAACGTTTGGTTTTTCGAAAGCCACAACTTTAGAATCCTGATGCAGAGGAACGTGCTCCGGTGACAAATCAATCCACAGGAAAGGGTTAAGGCGCCTGACATCAGAGATAAATAATCCATCCAGCGTGGGATAAAGTGGTTTAATAATTCATGCCTGTAATTGTCTGGTGCCGGGGATGGAATATTTCTATTGACACCAGAAGTCGGAATTAGTTTTGAATACATGGATGCACTGCCTGTTACTAAATCAGAGCAGCTCGTGAGACAAAGGAGTGAGGGCTGATCTCAGATCAGTGATGTGACACCTTTATTTATCTGAGGGGTTTTTGTTGTTTCGTTTACAAATGATTCTCGACTCTCTCTCCAAATTAAGGAAATTCCCAAATGTCTTCAGTAAATGGAACTGACTGCTGTTTGTATGGTGACGAGATGCTGCACAGTTTAAACACAGCTGAGTTGTCGACGGCAGGTTCAAAAAGTTCTAAGACTGACGTTACGATTAACACAGCTTACCATTTCATGACCTGCAGGTGGTGCTGCGTTCTGTCGCTCCCTGTACGGACCTATATTTACTGCGCGCGTATGTGAGTCAGCTGCAGTCACATGGTTTGTTCGTCTGCGTTGGGCTCGACAGCGGGACAGCTGGGCGATCAGTCACGCCACATCCGGTGGGATGCATCACACACGGCAGCCGTTCCATACGTCACAGAGAACGGGAGGAGGAGGAGTTTGATGACTTTAATTTGAAGTAATCTTGTTGGACCTACACATGGACACAAACACCACCGCACACTTGAAGTCACCTCTGTGACCTCTGGGGGATTTCATCCGACAAATAATCTAAAAGTGAGACTAAGACGATAAACAGTAATCCCATTAAACAGAAGGTCATTCAAAATGTTGACGTCGTAACCTCTCTCTCTCTCTGTCTCTCTCTATCTATCCATCCATCCATTCAACCATCCAACCATCCATCCATCTATTCTCTGGCTGTCTTTCCCATCCATCCAACCATCCAACCATCTATTCTCTGGCTGCCTTTACATTAAATCTGTATAAACTCCTCACTAAATGGTAAAGTTACAGGTCTCTGTACCTACTGTCAATCAAAGCAACCATTGTTAATTGCAATTATAATGAATTATATTAAGCACATGTGGTCATTGTGAAGGTAGAGGAGCTGGAGGCTAATGAGCCACTGACCCTGCTACAGAGTCACAGAGGGTAGAACCTTTAAAATGAAATACATTTGAATTCACGCCTTAAGATTTTCATTTGTCTCATACGGTGTCGCTGCACAGGCTCGACCGTGGCACGGGTCAGTTTGAATAAAACTCTGGGCCTGAGTGAACCTTCAGCAGGTGATCAGAAAATCATAGAGCTTTTCTCACTTATTTTTTCTTCTGCCGAACAGGATTTTGATATAACAAATGTCATGATGCTGAGATTGTTTCATTAACAGACTAACATTCTGTACTGGGAAATTTGTCGATCCTGAAAGAACAAGGACTGAAAATCGTCTGGATACAGACGGTAGTCCAGAATAAAAGATCTTGATAGACAGAGTAATGATGTGGAGAACATCAGAGGACATTGGTCCAAATCAGGTCCGGGGGAGACGAGGGTGAGGATCTAAGGAGAGACAAAAGGAAATATGTAAAATGGTATATTACTGGAGTAAAACGTATTGACCTACATTTTGCGCGTAATAGTGTGTGGGTAGTGACCCACATTGCCGCCCTCTAGTGGATAATTACATGAGTAGCGCAGTAGCTCTGACCCAGAAAGTAAATAATTCATGTGTTGTGCAGAGCAATTACTATAATATTTCAGCCACTTTGTTCAAACCACCTTCTCACAGCCTGTTATTATGGGATGGATCGCCAGCGTGTTTGTCTATTTTAACGCTGTCTTGACTGTGTGTGACGTGTGTGAATT